GGAGATGGCCGACTTGTTAAAAAAAAAAAAAAATCAATATACAAGAGGTCTGCAACTTAAAAACACCTAGGTCACAAACATCCACTCTTGCAAATGTGGCAATTTGAAACCAGTTACTGTTTGCAACAATTGATCAACAGTGCAGATGCATGTAACGGTTTTTATTCAAACAATTTTTTGTGTAAGCTGACATCAGGACCATAATTCTTTGTAAATTGGGGGCCAATACTGTAAATATCTTTCAGTATTTTAATACGTTCATGTCTATACAGTGGTCCCTCGTTTTTCGTAATTAATCCGTTCCTGGAGCCGTTACTATAAACGAAATTTACGATTTGTGAATCAATATTCTCCATAAGAAATAATGTAAATACAATTAATCCGTTCCTGACACCCAGAAGTATTAAAACCAAAAAAATAATTTTCCATGAAATATACATATAGTACATAAACAATACAATGGGAAATGATGAATGAAACATTAAGAGCATAACACTTACCTTTATTGGAGATTCTTCTTAGTGTATGGGAGACTGGAGGAGGAGAGAGATTGGATTGTTTACAGTTTGGAAGGGGAATCCCCTTCCAGCAACACCTCAGGTACCAATTGCTTCTCTGGGGTTGCTTCTCTTCTCTGTTTCTTAACCCTTTGAGGGTTTTGGTCGTACTAGTACGTCTTACGCGTAGGGTTTTTGACGTACTAGTACTCATAAATTCTAGCAGCCTCAAATCTAGTGGGAGAAAGCTGGTAGGCCTTCATATGAAAGAATGGGTCTATGTGGTCAGTGTGCACAGTCTAAAAAAAATCCTGCAGCACACAGTGCATAATGAGAAAAAAAAAACTTTGACCATTTTTTTGGAATAAATCAGCGACTTTGCAGTGTATTTTCGTATGGTATTTATTGTTGTATTCTAGTTTTCTTGGTCTCATTTTATAGAATGGAAGACATATTACAGAAATTGAGATGATTTTGACTGGTTTTACAATGAAAGGTGCCTTGAAATTGAGCTCAAAGTAGCAGAAATGTTCGATTTTTACCAAACTTCAAAAGTAAACAAATCGTGCCAAGCGTGCAATACACGTCAACTGGTGAGTCTAATATTCTTTCACAAGTGCACCAATAATATTTATACCATTTTTTACACTAATGCAGTAGTCTGCATAATAGTAAATCTTATATTTTTTGTGAGAATAAAAATTCAAAGTGGAAAGCAAAAGAATATAAGAGGGGCCTTGAGACGTGACTAATGACTAGAGGAAATGTCATTTTAGTGCCAGGAATGTCTTTCTTGTTTATTCTGGACCCTATTCGGAAATTGGCATCTTTTGAAATTTGTGTGAAATTGGCAAAATTGCTAAATTCTGACCACTGTACTGGATAGTTGAATTTCATAAATGGGTGGTTTCTTGCACTCATTCGATAGAAAAAATGGAGTTCTAGCGAAATATTCATGTTTTTTGTCGACTAGTACAGTGAAATTGGCCGAAAATGGGGCTCAAAGTGGGCAAAATCGCCGATGCGTAAACATCGCCAAGACCGCTAACTTTGCGAGAGCATAATTCCGTAAGTTTTCTATCAAATTTCAAACTTTTGGTGTCTTTATGATCGGGAAAAGGTTCTCTATCTTTTCATAAGAGAAAATATTTTTTTTTTTTTTTTAAATTTGGCCGACCCTGAGAACGAGTTTCGGAGAGGGCCTGTCGACCCTCAAAGGGTTAATGCCACTAGGACCACCTTGAGAGTCACTCTAGTCCTGTCTCGCAAAGTAACTGTGGAGAGAGCTCTGTTTCTGGTGTCTCTTTAACACTTCCCGAAAATGGCCCAAGACTTTGTCACTGTACAAATTTCTCACCTTCTTTACTACAGGCTTGGCACTAGGAGATTTCTTTGGAGCCATGGTAGCTTATTTAGTAATTGGAAGCACTAAAATGAGTGGAATATTATGAAATATTTTGTAGGAGCACTTGAGGGGACCTTCACTCACTGGTAAACAATGCCAGACTGGCTGGGTAGGGAGGCCGCCCCGGCTCACACTGTGCGTACGCATCCCGGACGAACTATTATTCGCGAGTCAACCTATGAAAAGCGAGTCCATGTTTATATGAAAATACCCCTATGATTGGCGAAATTTACGATTGCCGAGAACTACGAAAAGCGAGGGACCACTGTACATGTATATGGGTGCTGTGTTGGCTGCAGTCTTCTAGAAATTGAAAATAACTGGAAAATAGCCACAGAGTTATTTCCTGTTTTACTATAATTTTGTTTTAAGTAATTAATTCCTAGTACAGTGGAACCACAGTTTTTGTGATTAATCCATTCGAAAAGTCTGATGAAAACCGAATCACACGAAAACTGAAGCAATATTTCCCATAAGAAATAATGTAAATCCAATTAATCCGTTCCAGACACCCAAAAATATTAGCAAAAAATACGTTTTATAGAGAATATAATTTTACACACATAAAACAATGAGAAATAAATATAAATGACTAATGAAATGGATAAATGAACATTAACATCACTTTTACCTTTATTGAGGATTTGTTGGCGTATGGAAGATGACAAGGAGGGGAGAGAGAGGAGGAGAGGTTATTGTTTGGAAGGGGAATTCCCATCCATATGGAATTCAGGTATCAAGGCCCTATCTGGGGTTACTTCCCTTCTTTGTCTTTTACTGGCACTAGGACCATCTTGAGAGTCACTGGACCCCTGTCACACAAAAAATCTGTCCAGGGAGGTCTGTTTCTGGCATCTCTTTAAGATTTGTCTAAAATGGGACAAGGATGCTTTGTGTGGGCACTCGATTCCAGGAAATGAGTGGCCGAGTCATGCGGACAGGCAGACGAGTTTGGTACGGACCATTTTCAACTGTACGAAAACCAAGCGGATATACGAAAACTGGGACAAAATTTCTGTGAAAAATGTCGTTGAAAACTAGGGCATACGAAAACCAAGGTTTGACTGTACTGTAATTTCAAGGTCACATTGTATACCACTTATTTTTAAAACTGCAGCTAGATTCATGATTATGCTATTTTTAAAGCTTCGGTTCTAAGTTATAAAATTAATTGCACTTGCTTGTACACTATATACTTCATTAGTTGACTTATTTTGACAGTGAGCATGATTTATGATTGAAAACATACAGAAGCTGAATTCTGCTTCATACCTCCATATGATGGTTATTATGCTAACCATACCTTTATAGGCATGCACCTTTTTTTCTGGAAAGTTGATTGTAATCTTGGTTACATTGGCTAGGGTTTTCCATGCCAAAATGTCCACAAGCCACTAAAGCTAACTGAGGGCTACTTCTGCCATACTTGCATATTTTTCTTCTCAGTCCTTCTATTAATACACAACTGCATCTCATCTGCCACTACTTTTGTGGTGGCTGCAGAGGTTCAAGCAACTCATCACTCCTTCAGAGGAGAGGGAAGCAATCCTGGACTAACCATATCCATTGAAGCCCCATCTCATAGGTCCATATGTTTGTTATCCCAGTCTTCCCTCTTCCCTTGTATAAATAACTTGATTATCTGAAGTAATCAAGCTAGTTGTCAGCTACTGTATTTAACTTGAACTGTGGTTTTCGCAATCCTCTCTTCATCTCACAAATTTAACTCTCATTCACTAGCCGTGCCATTTCTTGCTCTCAAATCTCATTTTAAGGTAATTATTCATTTCACTTCAAAACTCACAGTAAATTATTTATTTTTAATAGACATCATTTACATCTGTATATATTTACAAAAGGTTCATGAGAAAATTTAGTCATGAAAAATTTAACTACAAATCATCATCCAATATTTTTCTTTCTTTAACTCTTTCAGGGTCCGTGCTGTAGTTCTATGGCTTTGAGTTGAGGGTCCAAACCGTAGATCTACGCCATGAGCTCAGCTCACTCTGATAAGCTGTGAGTGGTAAATTTGGGCCTAGATATGAGAGAATACATCTATGTGGTATGTGTGCACCACATAAAGCAAATCCTGCAGCACACAGTGCATAATGAGAGAAAAACTGAGATCGTAATTTTCGATTAAAACAGCAACTTTGCAGTGTTTTTTGTATGTTTTTTATAGTTATATTTGAGATTTCTTGGTTTCAATTGATAGAATAGAAGATATACTACAGAAATAGAGATGATTTTGATTGGTTTTAGTGCTGGAAATGGCTTGAAACTGAGTTCAAAGTAGCAGAAATGTTAAATTTTTGCCATTGTTCAAGAGTAAACAAATGACCTGACACGTCTAATACACACGAGCTGGTGGGTCTAATATAGTATGTTCACAAATGTGGTGATATTAATTATGCAATTATTACAATATTGCATATCAGTGAATCTTCTATTTTTTGGTTTGAATAAAAATTCATTATGTGAATAAAAAATCAAAATGAATTCATTTGTAAAGCCTGAAAATTTAGCTAATAACAGAGAAAATGTTAGTTTAGTGCCAGGAATGCCTGCATTATTTATTCTGGACCCTATTTTGAAATTGGAATATTTTGAACTTTGTTAAATTGGCCAAATTACCAATTTCTGATCACTATTTTGTAGTTGAAACAGTTGACTTGGCAGTTTCTTGTGCTCAATTGATAGAATAGAAGTAATACTAGTGAAATAGCTAAGAATGTGGTCAACTGGAATAATGTAATTGGCCTAAAATGGGAGTCAAGGTCGGCAAAATCGCCAATGCGTAAATATCGCTGACACATCAAAATTCTCAAGAGCATAATTTTGTCAATTTTCCACAAAATTTCATACTTTTTCTTTTATTACCTTAAGAAAAAGATTCTCTACCATTTCATAAGAAAAAATAACAAAATTATTTTTTGAAAATTCTTGGACCCTGGTGTGCACTTTGAAATTTGGCCTCTGGACCCTGCTATTTTTCAGTAATTTTTTTAGGTTTAAAATGTTCTTGAAGATTATTTTTCTTTATTTGTGTTATTTTAATTCATGTATAACTTTCAGTTTATTACTTATTATTATAGATTGAAATTTGGAACCGTGAAAGCTGGGATAAACCAAATGTGTGGAATGAAGAGGAAGGCTGGAAAGGACCTCAGTTACTGAAAATGGCAGGACTTTTTTCATATTGGGTGTCAACAGAGGTAAGTGTTACAGTTCATTTGCATATAGATATTGATTTACATATTTTGTAAATATACTATTTGGAGAAATAATTAGAAAGACCAATCAAACATTTTGGTCAGCATCTGAAGTCCTCTTCAACAAAATGTGAAAAAAGGAGTTGGTTGCATATTTTGTAGCAGTGTGATATTGCTAGTCAGCTGTCAGAAAAGGTATATGAAGGATTCATGATAAGCTTGGAATATTTGCTTTTGCATAGCTTCATCACTCACTGTATTGGGTATCCACTGCCCAAGAGAAGTGTTTAAGAGTTTGGAATATTTTTATAGATTGTGTCTTATCTTCTCTTGTCTTGTTTTTCCAGAAATACACAGGCATCATAATTTCAACACCCCCACACATCCTTCAGAGTGCAAACACTGCACATATCTCTTCCGGGACTTGAGTCCAGCTAACTTGGGTGGGCAATTATTTTGGTAGGCAGGCCACTTCACAGAAAGAGGTACACTTCACGAGCCACAACTTATAATAAATGCAAGCACTACACATACTCTTAGCACAAAATAAAACCTTGTACAGTGGACCCTTGACCAATGATGGCATCGTATAACGTTAAATCCGACTAGCGATACATTTTAACGCTAACATTTTGCCTCGACTAACGCTAAAAACACTCGACTAACGATATTCGTTCCCGGGTACCAATTAATATCGTTAGTCGAGGGTCCACTGTATTTGTAGACATGAGTAATATTTTGTGAAGGGATTCGGGGAAACTGGTAAGCCGGACTTGAGTTATGGAAGTGAGAAGTACAATGCCTGCACTTTAGAGGAGGGGGTTGGGATATTTGCTATTTAGAGGGACATCTAAGCTGTCATATGCGTGTACCTCTGCAAAGAGAGTGATAGTGTGAACGATTTTTTTTGTTACCCTGCCTCGGTGGGAGATGACCAACGTATGTACTATAAAAGAAAAGCAGATTTTTGGTAAATAAATATATCACTTAGCTTTTTATTTTATTATTGCTAATACAGAGGCCTGGTCACAGACTGGGTCACAGGAGCGTTGATCCCTGAAACCCTCTCGAGGCATACTCTAGGTAATACAAATACAAATATTTATACTACAACTGACAAAATTAGACAGTTAAGGTGCAATGTAATTAGTATGTGCTTTAAATACATCAATATAATGGAACAGGATCAATCTTGCTAGCTAATATTCTTGCCCCGAGAAGTTGTCTTTATTTTTCCTTAATGATTTGGTGGAAAGATGGTGCTTTGCTGTTTTTGGTACCCAACTCCCACATAGTAGTGATGAATGAAAAATGCAGTGGCAGGCCACAGAAATAATTTGCTTACCCCTGAGCTAACCTATTTCCCTGAATCCCTTCATAAGTGTTACCTTGGTCACACTTCAACAGTATGTTAATCCCAAAAGCCAGTTTTCTCCACTCATTTCAATTTAACAAAAAATACATTTTATAGAGAAGAACTATAGTTTTACATACAGACTAGGGCATACGAAAACCGAGGTTCCACTGTACTCACCTTGCCTTTTGTTATTTTGGTACTGTAGTGAAAATTAGGTCAATTTTATTGGTTCCCCAAACTTCTTATTTACAGGTCTCCCTCAACATTTGCGAGGGTTAGGGGATCAAGAGCCTCGCGAATGTTGAAAAACCGTGAATGTTTGGTGCCCCAATATATTGTAGGGAAATATAATACAATACTGCTTCCTTAACTTGTTGAACCATGAACAATCATAAAATACATGAAAACGTCATAAATTGTACTAAATATATACATGTTATGCTTTAATAACGTATGTTATTTAATAACATGTATGTTATTAAATACCACTGCCTCCACCACTGCGAGTCCCTACTACCCTCCCTCCGACCTCCGCAACTGGCAGCCAGCCCTCCCACCACTCAGTGTGGTGAGTGTTTTGTTTGTTCATTATTTGCTATTAAACTACAGTATAAATAATGCAAACCCATTCATGACTGCATATTGGAATGGCTATTCGGACAGGTATTGGACGGTGACATCATGTGTTTACTCTTGAACACAGCAAAGAATCAAACATTTCTGCTGCTGCTAATAATAACAATAGTAATAATAATAATAATAATAATACGTAATTAACAATAATAATAATAATATAATACGATATAATTGAAGAAGGAAATTGTACAAAAATATGAGGGAGAGGTTGACACATCGTCAGTGTGGCTTTGTTTATGCTGGAGTGAACATTAGTCTCCCTGCTCTTCCAAACATTTCACAATAATTCAGCGGTTGAGGCAGTGGTATTTAATAACATATGTATATGTGTTTACAGTGAAACATATAAGTGAACAGTATTTAGATAAGGCTAAAGAGGTCTTTGTGGCATTTATGGATTTGGAAAAGGCGTATGACAGGGTGGATAGGGGGGCAATGTGGCAGATGTTGCAGGTGTATGGTGTAGGAGGTAGGTTACTGAAAGCAATGAAGAGTTTTTACGAGGATAGTGAGGCTCAAGTTAGAGTATGTAGGAAAGAGGGAAATTATTTCCCAGTAAAAGTAGACCTTAGACAAGGATGTGTGATGTCACCGTTGTTGTTTAATATATTTATAGATGGGGTTGTAAGAGAAGTAAATGCGAGGGTCTTGGCAAGAGGCGTGGAGTTAAAAGATAAAGAATCACACATAAAGTGGGAGTTGTCACAGTTGCTCTTTGCTGATGACACTGTGCTCTTGGGAGATTCTGAAGAGAAGTTGCAGAGATTGGTGGATGAATTTGGTAGGGTGTGCAAAAGAAGAAAATTAAAAGTGAATACAGGAAAGAGTAAAGTTATGAGGATAACAAAAAGATTAGGTGATGAAAGATTGGATATCAGATTGGAGGGAGAGAGTATGGAGGAGGTGAATGTATTCAGATATTTGGGAGTGGACGTGTCAGCGAATGGGTTTATGAAAGATGAGGTGAATCATAGAATTGATGAGGGGGAAAAGGGTGAGTGGTGCACTTAGGAGTCTGTGGAGACAAAGGACTTTGTCCTTGGAGGCAAAAAGGGGAATGTATGAGAGTATAGTTTTACCAACACTCTTATGGGTGTGAAGCATGGGTGATGAATGTTGCAGCGAGGAGAAGGCTGGAGGCAGTGGAGATGTCATGTCTGAGGGCAATGTGTGGTGTGAATATAATGCAGAGAATTCGTAGTTTGGAAGTTAGAAGGAGGTGCGGGATTACCAAAACTGTTGTCCAGAGGGCTGAGGAAGGGTTGTTGAGGTGGTTCAGACATGTAGAGAGAATGGAGCGAAACAGAGTGACTTCAAGAGTGTATCAGTCTGTAGTGGAAGGAAGGTGGGATAGGGGTCGGCCTAGGAAAGGTTGGAGGGAGGGGGTAAAGGAGGTTTTGTGTGAGAGGGGCTTGGACTTCCAGCAGGCATGCGTGAGCGTGTTTGATAGGAGTGAATGGAGACAAATGGTTTTTAATACTTGACGTGCTGTTGGAGTGTGAGCAAAGTAACAATTATGAAGGGGTTCAGGGAAACCGGCAGGCCGGACTTGAGTCCTGGAGATGGGAAGTACAGTGCCTGCACTCTGAAGGAGGGGTGTTAATATTGCAGTTTAAAAACTAGTGTAAAGCACCCTTCTAGCAAGACAGTGATGGAGTGAATGATGGTGAAAGTTTTTCTTTTTCGGGCCACCCTGCCTTGGTGGGAATCGGCCAGCGTGATAATAAAATAATAATAAAATATGTTATAAATAATAATAGTACATATTATTAATAACATGTATTATTATTATTAATAACATGTATGTTATTAAATACCACTGCATCAACAGCTGCCTCAACAGCTGCCTCACCCACTGCCTCAATCGCTGCCTCAACCACTGCCTCAATCGCTGCCTCAACAGCTGCCTCAACCGCTGCCTCAACCGCTGCCTCACCCACTGCCTCACCCACTGCCTCAATCGCTGCCTCAATCGCTGCCTCAACCACTGCCTCTACCACTGCCTCTACCACTCCAGTCGCACTCAATCTACAAGCACCAAACACAATGAATTATTGTGAAATGTTTGGAAGAGCAGGGAGACTAATGTTCACTCCAGCATAAACAAAGCCATACTGACGATGTGTCAACTACTCCCTCGTATTTTTGTACAACTTCCTTCCTCAATTATATCGTATTTATTATTATTATTATTATTATTATTATTATTATTATTATTATTACTATTATTACTATTATTAGCAGTAGCAGAAATGTTTGATTCTTTGCTGTGTTCAAGAGTAAACACATGATGTCACCGTCTAATACCTGTCCGAATAGCCATTCCAATATGCAGTCATGAATGAGTTTACATTATTTATACTGTAGTTTAATAGCAAATAATGAACAAACAAAACATTCACCACACTGAGTGGTGGGAGGACTGGCTGCCAGTTGCGGGGGTCAGAGGGAGGGTAGTAGGGACTCGCAGGTGGCGGGAAACTTGAATATGATTTGGCGGCTGGGAATTTGGTGGCTGGGAATTTGGCGGTTGGGAATTCGCGAATGTGTGAAGCCTGCGAAAGCTGAAAACGTGAATGTTGAGGGAGACTTGTACTTTATTTCCCTCTCCACCTATCTACCTATCCTCCAGAACCCTCTCATACATTTATTACTCTCATTTTATACAGTATTTAATGTTTTTGTAATGTGAGCCTTAAGTAAGAGTAAATAATGCAAGAATTTTTTAAATTACATTTTTTATCCAGTTAGCCATATCCAACTGAGGCAGGGTGACTTAAAAAGAAAAACGAAAATTTCTTTTTTTAAATTTAGTAATGTACACAGGAGGGATTACTAGCCCCTTGCTCCTAGCATTTTAGCCGCCTCTTACGGCACACATGGCTTACAGAGGAAGAACTCTGTTCCATTTCCCCATGGAAAATTACAAATTACTATTTATTATAAAACTTTATACAGGGTGAGGTTGTGATGAGCTATTCTGTGATAACACTGGAGTCTGGGAAGGAGTATTCTGTCATTCATAATAGAACACCTGCCATCCTGGAGACTGATATGGATGTTGAGGTAAGATCATTTAATATTTCAAGGGTGATCATTTATTATAACTTCTGTATATGCAGTACAAGTCTGTTACACAGGTTACTTAGCCACACACACTGCAGGTGCATGTGGGGAAGAGATTATGTTATATCAGTCAAGTGAGGTATCAGCAAGTTTAGTGCCAATGTGTTAGAGCTGAATGGGCAGCCAGGGATAGAGACATGACCCAAAACATGCTTAGAGCTGATGGTGACTCATAATAGTAAGAAACTGTTTTCATTGTAAGCTGCTAAACATTGTTATTATTTATTCATAGGCACTGTATAACCCTTAAGAGTTATACAGAAATATGAGATAATTGTATTTGTTCCTAAGAAAGAGGGGGATACCTCAAATTCATTGAATCAAGAGCCCTTCATTAGCATTACTGCAAGGCGTGAGTAACAAAGGGAGGTGCCCAAATGAAATAACTCAAGTCACATGGAGAGAGGAACAGGGCTGTTGGCTGTATAATGAGAGGTGACATTTGTACAGTGGATAATTGATTATCCAAAATTTGTTCATTCTGGATCATTACTAGTTTCTCAATTTCTGTTCAGATAATGACCCCTTGTTCATCCACCTACCAGTTGGATGAACAGAACACAACATAATTATATATCTTGATCTTTGACTGTAGAAAAAATAAAAGAAGATGGTCATCCATTTAAGTTTGTTTCATTGAGGAAGAGGTGGAGATGTTGCAGTTCAGAGGGTAATTTGAATTGTGATGTCTGTGCACTTCCGGCAGAAATGACTACAGAAGGGCACCACATATACAGCACCCTCTTTTCGGTATTCCACATTTTCGTTGGCTTTCAACTGAGCCATTGTTCATAATGTTTTTACTTTTACCGCTTTTCTGCAATTTTCGTACAACAGTTGTGTGAGGAAAGGGCAACCAGCACCATATTTTATGGTAAGTATTGTATGTATTGTGTATTTATTTTACTTTTTTTATATGTTTTTTATGCCTAGCTGTATTGAGCATTTTAATATATGATAGTGTGAACACATTATCGTTCAATGATGAAAAACTGCTCTTTTCCACCTGCTGGCAATTTTCGCTTACATTACAAGGTTGCAAACAGGGCCCTCTTGTATTGAATAAATGATGATGACTGTTTTTCTTTCTTTTAGGTCACTGTGGGAGATGGCCAGTTTTTTTTTTAACATGTCAGCCATCTGCCACTAAGGCAGGGTAACCCCAAAAAAGAAAGAAGCACTTTCACCATCATTAACACATAATCATTGTCTTTTCACAGGTGCCCAAATATAGAAAGGTATTATTAATCTTACAAAGTATAAGTTGTTATATATTTTTAACCCAACAGAGATCACTTAATTTGGCTTGATGTTGTGTTGTGTTTTGTAGAGAGTACGTCTCTTGTTGAAAGTTTTTAATGTTAAAATTAATAGTTTTTAGGTAAATTGCACATTTTAATTTTTACTGAAAGCAGTGAAGAGTTTTATGAGGTTAGTGAGGCTCAGGTTAGAGTATGTAGGAGAGAGGGAGATTATTTCTCAGTAAAAGTAGGCCTTAGACAGGGATGTGTGATGTCACCATGGTTGTTCAGTATATTTATAGATGGGGGCTATAAGAGAAGTGAATGCTTGGGTGATGACAAGAGGTGTGGGATTAAAGGATAAAGAATCAAACACAAAGTGAGAGTTGCCACAGTTGATTTTTGCTGATAACACTGCAGTTTTGGGAGATTCTGAAGAGAAGTTGCAGAGGTTGGTGAACGAGTTTGCTAGGATATGTAAAAGAAGGAAATTAAAAGTGAACATAGGAAAGAATAAAGTGATGAAGATAACAAAAAATTTAGGTTATGAAAGATTGGATATCAGACGGAAGGGAGGGAGTATGGAGGAAGTTAATATATTCAGATGTTTGGGAGTGGACTTGTCAGCAGATGGGTCTGTGAAAGATGAGGTAAATCATAGAACTGATGAGGGGGAAAAGGTGAGTGGTACACTGAGGAGTCTGTGGAGAAAAAGAACGTTATCCATGGAAGCAAAGAGGGGAATATATGAGAGTATAGTTACATATGGGTGTGGAGCATGGGTGGTGAATATTGGGACAAGGAGAAGGCTAGAGGTGGTGGAAATGTCATGTTTGAGGGCAATGTGCGGTGTGAACATAATGCAGAGAATCCGTAGTTTAGAAATTAGGAGGAGGTGTGGGGTTATTGAAAGTATTATCCACAGGTCTGAGGAGGGGTTGTTGAGGTGGTTTGGCCATTTAGAGAGAATGGCACACAGTAGAATGACTTGGAGAGTGTATAAATCTGTAGTTGAAGGAAGGCAGGGTAGGGATTGTTCTCGAAAAGGTTAGAGGGAAAGGGGTAAAGGAAGTTTTGTGGGCAAGGGGCTTGGACTTCCAGCAAGCATGCATGATTGTGCTAGGTAGGAGTGAGCGGAGACTCGTGGTTTTTGAGACCTGACAAGCTGCTGGAGTGTGAGCAGGGTAATACTTTGTGAGGGGATTCAGGGAAACTGGTTAGTTGGACTTGAGTCCTGGAAATGGGAAGTACAATGCCTGCACTTTTAAGGAGGGGCTTAGGATATTGGCAATTTGGAGGGACATCTAAACTGTCATTTCTGGACTCTTCTGCAAAGACAGTAATTATGTATGAATGATCGTGAGAGTGTTGAATGATGAAAGTTTTTTTGTTTCTTTTCAGGTTTTTCTTTCTTTTTGGGTCACCCTGCCTCGGTGGGATATGGCCGACGTTTCCCACCGAGGCAGGTCATAATGATCATCATTTTAACCCTTTCAGGGTCGAAACCTCTGATCTCAGACTTGATCTCAGGGTTGAATAATTTAAAACAAAAAATTATTTTACCTTATGAAATGATAGAGAATCTTTTTTCTGAAGGTAATGAAACCAAAAGTACGATGGAAAACTTACGGAATTACTCTCTCTCTCTCAAAGGTAGCAGTCTTTGTGATATTTACGCATCGGCAATTTTGCCCATTTTATGCACTATTTTTGGTCAATTCCATTGTTCCAATTGATGAAACTCATAGCTATTTTGCTAGTACAGTGGTCCCTCAGTAATCGTAGGGCTCGAGAGTCGTAATTTTCGGAAATCGTAGCGATATTTTCGTCAAAACATGAGCTCGCTAATTGTAGATTGACTTGTGAATAGCAATTCGTCTGGGACGCGTACTCACCCTCTGAGCTGGGGCGGCCTCCCTTTCCAGCCAGTATGGCATTGTTTACCACTGAGCGACGGTCCCCTCACTTGCTCATACGAAATATTTCATAATATTCCATTCATTTTAGTGCTTGCAAGTACTAAATAAGCTACCATGGCTCCAAAGAAAGCTCCTAGTGCCAAGCCTTTGGTAAAGAATGTGAGAAATACGATTGAATTTAAGAAAAACATCATTGAGCAATACGAAAGTGGTGTACATGTGGCCGAACTGGCCAGGATGTATAACAAACCCTATACAACCATATCTTCCATCATGGCCAAGAAAAAGGAAATCAAGGACGCTGTTGTTGCAAAGGGGGTAAATATGCTGACAAAAATGAGATCACCAGTACTCAAAGAGGTTGAGAAGTTAATATTGGTGTGGATAAACGAGAAAGAATTAGCAGGAGATAGTATTATGACGTAGATTATTTGTGAAAAGGCTAGGCAGTTGCATGACGATCTAGTAAAGAAACTGCTTGCAACTAGTGGTGATGTGAGTGAATTTAAGGCCAGCAAAGGTTGGTTTGAGAGATTTAAGAATCGTAGTGGCATACACAGTGTGGTAAGGCATAGTGAGGCTGCCAGTTCAGACCACATAGGGGCTGAAAAATATGTGCATGAATTCATAACCATTGCATAACCCTTATACGTACGGCTTGGGAGGGAGTGACTACCAGGACTTTGAACTCTGCTTGGAGAATCTTGCTGCAGAGGAGGAGGAAGAGAGATGGAAGAAGTTGCCTTCTTCAGAAATTAAGGAGATTTTTGAAATGTGGGGTAAGATGGAAAGATTTATGGAGAAACATCACCCTGACAAGGCTGTTGCAAGCCATGTTGGCAACATGTAGTGACAAAGTCTTGGCCCATATTAGGGAAGTGTTAAAGAGACACCAGAAACAGAGCTCTCTGGACAGTTATTTTGCAAGACAGGACTCCAGTGACTCTCAAGCTGGTCCTAGTGGCATTAAGAAACAGAGAAGAGAAGTAACCCCAGAAAAGCAATTGGTACCTGAGGTGTTGATGGAAGGGGATTCCCCTTCCAAACTGTAAATAATCCAATCTCTCTCCTCCTCCAGTCTTCCATACACTAAGAAGAATTGCCAATAAAGGTAAGTGTTATGCTGTTAATGTTTCATTCATCATGTCCCATTGTATTGTTTATGTACTACATCTATATTTCATGTAAAAAGTTTTTTTTGTTTTAATACTTCTGGGTGTCAGGAATGGATTAATTGTATTTACATTATTTCTTAAGGGGAAAAATGATTCGAAAATCGTAGATTTCGATAATAGTAACACCTCCAGGAACGGATTAATTACGATAAACGAGGGACCACTGTATTCCTTCTATTCTGTTGACCGAGCAGAAGAAACCACCCATTTACCTATTTCAGCTACCCAATAAAGTGATCAGAAATCATTAATTTGGCCAATTTCACACAAAATTCAACAATTGCCAATTTGAAAATAGGTTCCAGAATAAAGAATGTAGACATTTCTGGCACTAAATAAACATTTCCTCTGTTCCTTATTCATGTCTCCAGGCCCCTCTTATATTACGCTTGCTTTCCATTTTGAATTTTTATTTGCACATAAAATAGAAGTTTTACTGTTTTACAGACTGCTGCATTTTTATTTATTTATTTATTTAGTAATTTGAGCATACATACAGAGGTACAAAAAAATACAGGTAAGAGCAGCATGCCAAAGCCACTTATATGCATAGCATTACAGGCTGGCTTAAAATTAACTTAAGATTAACTTAAGATTAACTATGGTCATGTGTTCTGTTGAGGTTGGCAAGGAGATGTTTGAGGGGAGGGTTAATATCAGAGTTAAGTGTTCTATGTATGTAATAGGTGCAATAATAAGTATGGATGTTTTGTATGGTGAGTAGGTTGAGTGTTTTGAATATTGGTGGAGTGTGCTGCCTGTAGTGAGAATTTGTTATCATTCTAACTGCAGCCTTTTGTTGGGTAATTAGTGGTCTGAGATGGTTAATTGTTGTTGAGCCCCATGCACAAATTCCATAGGTGAGATAGGGGTAAATAAGAGAGTGATATAGGGCCAGGAGGGCTGACTGTGGAGCATAGTACCGTATCTTCGATAGTATGCCTACAGTCTTGGAAATTTTCTTAGAAATTTGTTGTATATGTGTATAGTATTTTTATTAGGCCTGAATCCAAATTGGCAGGGGTTGAGTATGTTTTGGGAGATGAGGTAGGAGTAGATTCGTTTATGAATTAATTTTTCGAAGATTTTTGAGAGAGGGTGTAAATTGGATATTGGCCTATAGTTATTCAACTCTGTTTGGTCTCCTCCTTTATGGATCGGGGTGACCCTTGCTATTTTGAGAACTGTTGGGAAGGTGGAGGATTCAATGGATTTGTTAAAGAGTGTTGCAATGATTGGTGATAGCACTTGTGACACTTTTTTGTATATAAAGGGTGGTAAGGTATTTAAATCTCCTGCCTTGTTTTTCAGTGCGTTGATAATAAGGGAGACTTCGTATGGGTTAGTCGGAGCTAGGAACAGTGTGTTCGGGTAGTTGCCAGTGAGGTAGTCATTTGGTGGGGTATCTGAGCTTGGGATTTTATTGGCAAGGTTTTCTCCTATAGTGGAGAAGAAATCATTGAGTCTGTTTGCTGTTTCTGTTGGTTGGAGTTGGGGTTCATCTGATTTTGCTAATTTTATTTCGCTATTTCGTGATATATTTTTTGTTCCCAGAATTTCTGATAGGGTTTTCCAGGTCTTTTTTATATCACCTCGTAAGTTGGATAATCTGTTCTCATAATACAATTTTTTTGCCCTTCTTATCAGGCTGGTTAGGATTGACGAGTAACGTTTTGTTTGGTCTCTGGTTATGTGACCCATTCTGTACTGTTTTTCATATCGGTGTTTTGTATTTATGGATTTGAGAATGCTGGGTGTTAGCCAGGGACTGTTCAGTCTCTTAGCTGTCATCTGTTTAGTTTTTTTAGGGCAGTGCTTGTTATAGAGGTATTGGGTCTTTTTTAGAAAATTATTAAAACATTTGTCAATATCTGTATAGTGTGCCAGTCAATGTTTGTTACTGCTGTTGTGAAGTTATTAATGGCTGCCTCATTGTGAAGTCTGAAGGTGACTTTAGTAGTGTCTTGGGGTAATTTACCAAGAGTTGTTATGAGGAAAGTGGGGTAGTGGTCTTTTGGTTTTTTTCTGTAATTAGGGGCCTGATTTTAAAGGGGATATGGTGTTGGTCCAGATGTGGTCAAGTAAGGAAACTCTAGTCTCCGTAACTCTTGTAGGTTTTGTTACTGTTGGTAGCAACATGCAGTTACTCATTATGTTGTGAATTCAGTAACGTGGGTCCGGGTCTTGCAGGAGATTTATATTGAAGTCACCTGAGAGTAGTAAGTGATCTTTGTTCATGCATGCATCAGTTATCATACTTCCTGGGTTTTGGGACTAAATTGGCTAATGTTTGACTGTGGAACTCTGTAGAGTTTATCAATGTGAGAGGTTTTTGTAGGTATTTGGATTTGAATTTAGCTATTTATATTCCCCATGTTCATCCCTTGTGCAAGTATTAGTGATACATTCTAGTTGGTCTGAGTAGTATTAGCTGTGCCACCCCCTTGTTGATCTGTCCTACAGTTGTGTATGGCTGTGAAAACCGGGAAATGGCATGGGACATCTGTAGTATCGGGCTTTAGCCAGGTTTCAGTTAGTGTAATGATGGACATATTGGCATGCAAGAAATTTAGTAATGCTATGAGGTCATCGGAATGCTTGCTTAAAGATCTGATTTTGTATTTAAAAAACAGTTATGTTTTTGTTTGGCTCTGAGAATGCCTTTGATTGTTCTGCGTGTAGTAATTACAGTAACGTTTTTATTCATTTAAGTCATTCAATAAGAGGTTGTATCAGGGTCAATGCTTGTAATCATAAGATTGTAGTGAATCTATAGTTAGAATTAAGTATAAAACAAAGTAAATATTCTAAAGCTAAAAAAATAGCTCCTGAATTATTTAACAAATGTAAAAATAATGAGCTAAGGCAGTTTTTTAAAGCTAAAATAAAGGAGACAATATAAAGGGACTAAAATAATTTGTGGTGAACAAATAAAGTGATGATCAAATAATGGAGCTTGGGAATATGATAGTAGGTAGTACTTTAAAGGTAATTCTTTAAAGTTAGAATTATAATATAAAATTATAATATAAAAGGGACTAATGTAAGTTGTGGTGAACAATCAAGTGGTAATCAAAAAATGAGCTTTGGAATATAATGGCAAAATAGTGAACTTATTACACTTTAGCACGCATTATTGTAATAATTGTATAAATAATGTCAGTGCATTCGTAAATGCATATTAGACTGGCCAGTTGGATGTGTTTGGAAAAGTGATGTCATTTGTGTACTTGAATATCGGCAAAAATCAAACATTTCCGCTAATTTGAGCTCTGTTTGATGCTACTTTCAGTCCTGAAACCAAAATCATCTCTATTTCTGTAATATGTCTTCCATTCTGTCAAAAGAGACCAAGAAATAAAAAATACAGCCATAAAAACCATACAAAAATACACTGCAAAGTCACTGTTTTAAACCAAAAACTCAGTTGCAATTTTTGTCTCATTCACTGCATGCTGCCAAATTTTTTTTATAAGGTGCATACTTACTGCATAGACCCATTCTCTCATATCTAGGCCCAAATTTACCACTTACAGCTTATCTGAGTGAGCTGAGCTCGTGGTGGTGTACTACGGGGCTGACGTTGGCTTCAGAGCCATGATATAACAGGATCAACCCTTAAAGGATTAAGTTTAATATTTTTTAGTTTATGCTCACCATACTCTACAGTGTTTTTGTACGAGATGGGCAATCCTTCACTTTTTGCAAAGTAGTAATATGTACTCTTCCACACAATTACTGTGAGAAATAAATCTTATTTAATACTTTTTTGTTTTTGCAGAGTTGGCTAGACTTTGGACACATTGGCTACAAAGAAGCTTTGACAGTTTTAAAGAATGAAATGGAAATAACATGGCATCCTGTCTCCACTGCTGTGAATAATTCACGCAATCAAGAGCCCCAGTTAAATGCACCCATAAGCTTGGAGAAGTGAGTGCTTTTTGTATGTCATTTGCATAAGTGGATAGAATACATAACTCAGGTACAGCATCTAAAAGCAAATGTTTTTAAAAATTTATTAGCCATTCACAAATATGTACTGACCTGGAACATTTTGCAGAGGAAAAAAGAGAGACGTACAGAAGCCTATTTTGAAAATGATAGCAAGGTGAATGGGAAACAGAAGCCCAAAAAATGCAAGAAAGGAACAGTGAAAAAATCTGCGTACTGTACTGAGTGAGATCACGTGAGATCATGAGAGTTGTATATGCTCTAACCACTGGAAGCTTACAGCAATTACTGATACGACAAACTAAATACTACTGTACATAATATGAGACACTATAAGCATAGCTCAGGTCTTTTACTGACAAATTTGCAAAGTTGGAAGAAGGCTTGGACAAGTTTTGCATATTTGATCAAAGTTCCCAGTAGTTGCAACATTATCACCTCCTGAATCCTATTCCAGCAGTCTATCACTGTTTGTGAAGAAATAATTTCCACTCATTTCAGCACTTTTTTTTTCAGAGTTTGCACTGTCATCCTGTTTGGCTCTCAAGGAGCATTATGGGTCCTGAATCTAAAGTTTTAGTTTTGTTCATCATTCCATAGGGGTTCCAATTGTCTTCAGTTTTGGCAGGTTCTGCTGGATAGGTCCTGTCATTCATTGGTCTGCCTCCATCATTCCTTGTGCTGAAATGTCAGACATTGGTTTAGAGCTTCACTTGAGCCCTGGAAATGGGAAGTACAATGCCTGCACTTTAGAGGAGGGGTTTGGGATATTGGCAATTTGGAGGGACATCTAAACTGTCATATCTGAGCACCCCTGCAAAGACAGTGATTATGTATGAGTGATGTTGAAAGTGTTGAATGATGATGAAAGTTTTTTCTTTCTTTTTGGGTCACCCTGCCTCAGTGGGAAACGACCGACATGTTAAAAAAAATACAGTGACTTGGGATGAATCCAAGTACTTTAATAACCCATTAGTGATTCCCATTAGTGGAAGATCTCTCGACAAGCTTACAGCAAAAACCAAGAGTAACATGCACTCTCAGGCAATTGGATGAGCTATTTTCAGCTTCCTCTTATTTTATTAAGACACCATGAACAACAGAACCCTTCTGTTTTGCAGATTGAGTGACAAAACATAAAGTAGTTCTCTTCCATGCAGTGCAAATTCTCTTCCTCATATGTTATAACCACATATGCTGCTGTTGAAATTTTGCTGTGCACTTAAATGGAAAAAAGAGCACTGAGTCATGTAGCGAGATTAAGGGTGGGTGATGGAGGAATTTGACTGCACTGGGATGGATATTGTTTCAGGCATTGAAAGAGGAGCAAGTTGTTGGGAGAGTCCTTGGATTAACTGTCAATGCTAGCACTGGAGCTGAAGAGGGTATGTGTAGGTCAGGGTGGTCAGCTCATTGTTTATAACACCACCACCATGTTCACTCAGGACCAAGTGCACCCACATGCATTATTAAAATTCTTTTCCACTGAAGGCTAATACAGTAACAATATGCAATAAGCACAGTGTGATAGACAACAATTGACTTTATTTTGAAGCACCTTAGGACTGCTGTACCAGCACAAGTTAAAAAAAAATATATATATATAAGCATGCCCACAGGTATATACAGCATTTTTGTTTGCTATGATATTTACAATACAGTGGACCCCCGGATATCAGCTGGTGTGGATATCAGACAAATTGGATTTTGGCAGCTTTTTTAGCCAAAATTCTATCCTGGATTTCAGCCGGCAACTCGGAAATCGGTCATATTGGATGCGTTCGCCCGCCACGCCATGTGTGTGTCAAGTCAGTCTGGCTGTGTCTCTCAGTGAGTGAGCAACACTCCGTACATTCATCCAAACATTTCGTTATAATCCATTGCTTTTTGTGGTTGTTTATTGAGTGCGACTGCGAAATAAGCCACCATAGGCCCAGGAGCTAACCACTAAATAGCTGCAAGAGCTTCATCTGCAACAGCAACAGACCACAGCTGAGGAAATTGGTTCAGAAGAGCAGGAAGGGAGAGGGAAGAAGGTGCCTTCTTCAGCAATTAAGGACATTTGTGCAAAGTGGAGGGAGGTGCAAAGTTTTGTGGAGAAATATCACCCTGGCCAAGCTGAAACAAGCCATATCTGCAACATGCTCAGTGACAAAACCTTGTCCCACTTTAGGCAAATCTTAAAGAGGCACCAGAAACAGACCTCTCTGGACAGTTTTTTTTGTGTGACAGGGGTGCAGTGACTCTCAAGCTGGTCCTAGTGCCAGTAAAAGACAAAAAAGGGAAGTAACCCCAGATAGGGACTTGATACCTGAAGTCTTTATGGAGGGGGATTCCTCTTCCAAACAATAATCGGTCCTCCCTCTCTCCTCCTCCCTGTCTTCCATATGCCAACAAGAATCTTCAATAAAGGTAAATGTGGAAAAAGACACTTATGTACAGTTCAGGACATTTATTAAAGGAAACGTTTCGCCATGAGTGGCTTCTTCAGTCCTAATACAGAAAAAACTAAGAAAACATATATATATATAGTGGCAGGAGTCAGGTGAGTATGCTGCGGGTCTTACTGAGAAAAGAATCTGTTTCTTTCTTCCATGCATGTTCGGGGATGGAAACGTATGTGTTGGCCGAACATGCATGGAAGAAAGAAACAGATTCTTTTCTCAGCAAGACCCGCAGCATACTCAGGAAATCAGAAGAAGGTAAAAAGCTATTGTGCCTCATCCCTACCAACCCCAAGTCAGCAAGACTTTATGGTTTACCAAAGACCCACAAACCATATGTGCCTATGAGACCCATTACATCTGGAATCGGCAGCGCCCCTCACAGTCTAGCAGGAGTTTTGGCGAAATATTTGTCAAAGCTCCTGGGTACAATCAGTCTGGCTCATCCAAAGCATTCGAGTGACCTCCTTAACTGTATCAGGGATCTCGACATGAGTGATAAGAAGCTTGCAAGTTTTGACGTGACTGCCTTATTCACCAATGTCCCAGTTGATCAAGCCATTGATCTTCTTCGCAGGGCGATTAAAGATGATACAGAGTTACCTGTACCCCGCCAAGATTTTGTGAGCCTCGTCGAACTTTTTGTTCGTTATAACTGTTTTAGGTTTGAGGACAAGAAGTACAAACAACTCTTCGGACTAGCCATGGGATCCCCCCTTAGTGCAGTTCTTGCCAATTTATATATGGAGGACCTGGAATCAAGAAGGATCCTCAGTAACATCCCTCGTTCAGTTACATGGATGCGGTACGTAGATGATATTTTGGTCATTGTACCCAAAAATCTTGACGTACGGGGCATCCTCAACACCATCAACACTGTGGAACCTACTATTAAATTTACACTAGAGGAGAAGGACAACCAATTACCTTTTCTTGACGTTCTCTTACGCACAGGGGAAAACAATTTTTCTTTTAAAGTCTACCGGAAGCCTACCTTCAAGAACGATCTTCTACATTTCTTCTCTCACCATGACACAAGAACTAAAAGAGGGGTAGTTATTGGCTTCTTTCTGAGAACCTACAGAATTTCCAGTCTGCAGTTCCTCGAAGAAGAATGTACATACATCACCAACTCTATTAGTTCACTACACTTTCCCCTACACTTCATACGTGACTGCAGGAAACGTGCGACATGTATCCTCAGCAAGACCAACACCTATCAAATTGAAGAAAAGCCTCCAAGTTACATCATTTTACCGGTCAGCAACGTTGCCACTAATGTTTCAAAAATGTTTGACAGAAAACTGGCTAAAATATCTACCAGCTCTTCAACTACTATTAGGAACCTGATACAAAAACCCAAGCATGATTCTGGCACAAGTGCAGGAATCTACACTATACCATGTGGGGGGTGTGACAAAGTATATGTAGGGGAAACAGCCAGAACTCTGGACATTAGGATAGCAGAACACAAAAATGCTTGCAGAAATGATGACCGCAAAAATGCATGTGTTCAACATAGAGACGATGTTGGACACCTCATGAAATTCAATGAAGCTAAACTAGTTATTAAAGAAGACGACTTAAGGCGGAGAAAATGCATTGAAGCTGCACTAATTTCTGTCAGTAACACTATAAAGCAAAAATCCGGTAGTTACAGTATTTCAAAATTACTAAGCAAGAGGATATTACCCATCCTGATAACTGGTGTTACTTGATGCCAGCAGGCAGCAGGTCCCTCTCTAGCCTTGCTGCTGCTGCTGCTGCTGCTGCTGCTGCTGCTGCTGCTGCTGCTGCTGCTGCTGCTGCTGCTGCTGCTGCGCTGCTGCTGCCGCTGCCGCCGCCGCCGCCGCCGCGCCGCCGCCGCCGCCGCCGCCGCCGCCGCCGCCGCCGCCGCCGCCGCCGCCGCCGCCCCCCGCCACCCCGCCACCACCACCTCCCCACCACTCCTCCACCACCTCTCCACTCCTCCTCTCCCTCCTCCTCCACCTCCTCCTCCTCCTCCACCTCCTCCTCCTCCTCCTCCTCCTCCTCCTCCTCCTCCTCCACCCACGCGTCACCTCGCCTGACTCCTCCCACTATATATATATGTTTTCTTAGTTTTCTCTGTATTAAGACTGAAGAAGCCACTCGTGGCGAAACGTTTCCTTTAATAAATGTCCTGAACTCTACATAAGTGTCTTTTTCCACATCTTGTCGGTATCACCATACCATTTCCTCAAAGGTAAATGTGATGTTAAATGTTCATTTATTCGTTGCATTAGTCATTTTATTTAGTGCTCATTGTTTTGTGCATGTAAAATTATAGTTAATCTTTAAAAAATGTATATTTTGTTAATATTTTTGGGTGTCTGGAATGGATTAATTTTTTTTTTTTTCTTCAACAAGTTGGTCGTCTCCCACCGAGGCAGGGTGACCCAAAAAAAAAAGAAAATCCCCAAAAAGAAAATACTTTCATCATATTCAACACTTTCACCACACTCACACATTATCACTGCTTTTGCAGAGGTGCTCAGAATACAACAGTTTAGAAGCATATACGCATAAAGATACACAACATATCCCTCCAAACTGCCAATATCCCAAACCCCTCCTTTAACCCTTTCAGGGTCCGTCCCGTAGATCTACGGCTTTACGTTCAGGGTCCAAACCGTAGATCTACGCCATGAGCTCAGCTCACTCTGATAAACTGTGAGTGGTACATTTGGGCCTAGATATGAGAGAATACATCTATGTGGTATGTGTGCACCACATAAAACAGATCCTGCAGCACACTGTGCATAATGAGAGAAAAAAAATGAAATCATGATTTTTCGATTAAAACAGCAACTTTGCAGTGTTTTTTCGTATGTTTTTTATAGTTGTATTTGCGATTTCTTGGTCTCATTTGATAGAATGGAAGACATATTACAGAAATAGAGATGATTTTGATTGGTTTTAGCATTGGAAATGGCTTGAAACTGAGCTCAAAGTAGCGGAAATGTTAAATTTTTGCCGATATTCAAGAGTAAACAAACGACCTCACACGTCTAATACACGTCAGCTGGTGGGTCTAATATACATTCACAAATATGGTGATGATATTTATACAATTATTACAGTATTGCATAACAGTAAATCTTCTATTTTTTGGTGTGAATAAAAATTCATTAGGTGAATAAAAAATCAAAATGGAATTTATTTGTAAAGCCTCAAAACATAACTAATGAACAGAGGAAATGTTAGTTTAGTGCCAGGAATGCCTACATTGTTCATTCTGGACCCTATTTTGAAATTGGAATATTTTGAACTTTGTGTTAAATTGGCCAAATTAACAATTTCCGATCACTTTATTTTGTAGTTGAAACAGTTGACTTGGCGATTTCTTGTGCTCAATCGATAGAATAGAAGTAATACTAGTGAAATAGCTAAGAATTTGGTTGATTGGAATAATGTAATTGGCCTAAAATGGGAGTCAAAGTCGGCAAAATCGCCGATTCGTAAATATCGCTGACACATCAAAATTCGCGAGAGCATAATTTCGTCAATTTTCCACCAATTTTCGTACTTTTTGTTTTATTACCTTCACAAAAAGATTCTCTACGATTTCATAAGAAAAAATAACAAATTTTTTTTTTTAAATATCTTGGACACTGGTGCGTGACTCCAGATTTGGGCCTTGGACCCTGAAAGGGTTAAAGTGCAGGCATTATACTTCCCATTTCCAGGACTCAAGTCCGACTATATGAAAATAACCGATTTCCCTGAATCCCTTCACTAAATATTACCCTGCTCACACTCCAACAGATCGTCAGGTCCCAAGTATCATTCGTCTCCATTCACTCCTATCTAACATGCTCATGCACGCTTGCTGGAAGTCCAAGCCCCTCGCCCACAAAACCTCCTTTACCCCCTCTTTCCAACCCTTTCGAGGACGACCCCTACCCCTCTTTCCTTCCCCTATAGATTTATATGCTTTCCATGTCATTCTACTTTGATCCATTCTCTCTAAATGACCAAACCACCTCAACAACCCCTCTTCTGCCCTCTGACTAATGCTTTTATAACTCCACACCTTCTCCTAATTTCCACACTCCGAATTTTCTGCATAATATTTACACCACACATTGCCCTTAGACAGGACATCTCCACTGCCTCCAACCGTCTCCTCGCTGCTGCATTTACCACCCAAGCTTCACATCCATATAAGAGTGTTGGTACTACTATACTTTCATACATTCCCTTCTTTGCCTCCATAGATAACGTTTTTTGACTCCACGTATACCTCAACGCACCACTCACCTTTTTTCCCTCATCAATTCTATGATTAACCTCATCCTTCATAAATCCATCCGCCGACACGTCAACTCCCAAGTATCTGAAAACATTCACTTCTTCCATACTCCTCCTCCCCAATTTGATATCCAATTTTTCTTTATCTAAATCATTTGATACCCTCATCACCTTACTCTTTTCTATGTTCACTTTCAACTTTCTACCTTTACACACATTCTCAAACTCATCCACTAACCTTTACATTATTTACATTATTTACATTAATTCTTAAGGGAAATATTACTTCGGTTTTCAGCCTTTTCGGATTTAGGCCAACCTTCTGGAATGGATTACAGCCGAAATCTGGGGGTTCCACTGTATGTACAGTTTATCATTTTTTAAAGACTTTATAGTCTCTTAATACTAATACTATTTTCCTGCATCTCCTGATTCTTGTAACTTTTACAGGAAGCCACCACAAACAGCTAGCAGCAAATTGATGGCTACATGGTTGAGCAAAGGCTCAGTCAAAAAAGGTGATTCAACACCAATAAAGAAAGAATCATTAGAACCAAAGGAGGAACCAACAGAGGAATTAGAGGAGGAACCAAAGGAGGAATTAAAGAAGGAATTAAAGGAGGAATTAAAGAAGGAATTAAAGGAGGAACCATAGGAGAAACCAATGGAGGAACAAAAAACCTCATCCCTTGATAAGTGTCTGAAGGAGGACTAATGCAGCAGCAGTGCTGAAGGACTCTAATAAATATTTGTTATGTTAATTTTATTGTGTTGTTTGGAAATCAAATCTACAATAAAAAGGAGTACAAAAATTTAGACAGTCATAAACATTGTGAAATTTAAATGCTCTTAAAAATGCATATTCTGTTAACACCTTCAGTTACCTATCATATATAACAATAGTCTTGCCAGATACTTACACAATAAATGTTTATCATGACAAACATGTTTTTGAAAGGATATACATCTGCCTTGCCTTATGGTAGTAGAATATGTAACCATTGTACCTAGACAACAGATGATTATCCAAGGATATATAAAATATTAATTTATTATTTATGCTCTAAAGAATATAAATTGAAGTCAGATTTTTTCATTATAAATGATTTTTAAAATCTAAACATAATGCTGTTTTTAAACATTGTGTCTTTTAAAATGCAAAGTCAAAAACATTTGCTTTAGTTTTTAAACATTCAAAGATGTAAATATTTATATTGGTTACAATAATTTTTGAGGATTTTCAGAATTTTTTGGACAGTGCAACAGATGGATCACAGCTTAGTATTAAAAATATATTCTAAGTGTTTAAAATTTGGTTTATATATTTATAAATTTTTTTAATATAGTAAAAGTGTTTTCATTATTTTTATAGTTTTACTAATGTGCTTTCTTGAACTACATCTTGTTGGTATCTGTATTAGCATCGAATTATTATTGTGGATCTCTCTTAGTCTTTTTATTTCTTATTTAGTAATCCTAAAAGTTGTCCTACTCCCCTCATGGAAAGATGGTCCCCTTGATGTGGCAAAGTGGATCTTGATCTGTGTAGTTTGGCCTCCAGTCCCCTTCCTTGGACCATATCTTAATGCTGTACTCCCATCCCATTTAGCCTCATTAGTGTGGAACTTTGCCCTTGTGAAATTCACTTCCTGGGCTGAAAGAAGAGAGAGCATTATCAGCCTTGTTTTAGCATAACCTTTGATGGTAGTAGTGCAGTGGTGTCACTCCTAAATGAGAAACTGATTTATTCAGGATGTGCTGGATGGCCCTCTGGTGATGTGGAGGGCTATCTTGTACAGACTGATGACAGAATTATTACTGAGGGATGCTTGCAGATCTGGGAGTGACAGCCAAAAGTGTTACAACTCCTGGCATTTTCAGTTGCCCACCAGTGCTGTTGGCTGAACACCAGTTATGCAGTCATGCTGTAGTCTAATAAGGTGGTAGCTGTATGACCCTTGTAGATATAGCACTTCAAAGTGGGATGTTGAATGTGCGCGGTTGTAGTGCGAATGATGAGAAAGAGATGATTGTGGATGTTATGAATGAAAAGAAGCTGAATGTCCTTGCTTTAAGTGGAACAGAGCTGAAGGAGGTAGGAAAGTTTCAGTGGGGAGAAATAAATGGGATTAGGTCAAGGGTTTCTAATAGAGTTAGAGCTAAGGAAGGAGTAGCAATAATGTTGAAGGATAAGTTATGGCAGGAAAAGAAGGAATATAAATGCATAAATTCAAGGATTATGTGGAATAAAATAAAGGTTGGATGTGAAAAGTGGGTTATAGTAAGTGCTGATGCACCTGGAGAAGAGAGAAGTGTAGAGAGAGATTTTGGGAAATGCTGAGTGAGGGCATGGTGAGTTTTGAACCAAGTGAGAGAGTATTTATGGTTGGGGATCTCATTGCTAAAGTGGATAAAAATGTTGTAGAGGTAGTAGTAGGTAAATTTGGGGTGCCAGGGGTAAACGAAAATGGGAAGCCTTTAATTGAACTATCTGTTGAAAGAGGTTTGGTAATAAGCAATACATATTTTATGTAAAAGGATAAATAAGTATACAAGATATGATATAGCATGTAATGAAAGTAGTTTGTTAGATTATATATTGGTGGATAAAAGGTTGATGGGTAGGCTTCAGGATGTACATGTTTATAGAAGGGCAACAGATACATCAGATCATTATCTAGTTGTAGCTACAGTTAGAGTAAGAGGTAGACAGGACAAAAGGAAAATGGCAACAGTAAGAGAGAGGTGAAAGTTTATAAACTAAGGAGGAAGTTAGGGTGAGATATAATCAACTTTTGGCAGAAAGGTGAGCTAGTGCAAGTATGGGTAGTGGAAGGGTTGAAGAGGGATGGGATACTTTTAAAAATGCAGTATTAGAATGTGGGGCAGAAGTTTGTGGCTATAAGAGGGTGGTTGCAGGAGGAAAGAGGAGTGATTAGTGGGATGATGAGGTAAAGGGTGCAATAAAAGAGAAAAAGGTAGCTTATGAGTGGTTTTTACAAAGCAGAAATGATAAAAGAAGGGCAGAGTATATGGAGAGTAAAAGAAAGGCAAAAGGAGTGCAAAAGGAGAGCAAATGATAGAGTGGGAGAGGCTCTGTCAAGAAATTTTGCTCAGAATAAGAAAAAATATTGGAGTGAGATAAACAAGTTAAGAAAGCCTAAGGAACGAATGGATTTGTCAGTTAAAAACAGAGTAGGGGAGTTAGTAGATGGGGAGCTGGAGGTACTGGGTAGATGGAAGGAATATTTTAAGGAACTTTTAAATGTTGATGAAGAAAGGGAGGCAGTAATTTCATGCACTGGCCAGGTAGATATAACATCTTTTAGGAGTGAAGAAGAGCAGGATGTGAGTTTGGGGGCGGTGCGTGAGGCATTACGCAGAATGAAAGGAGTTAAAGCAGCTGGAACTGATGGGATCATGACAGAAATGTTAAAAGCAGGGGGAGATTTAGTGTTGGAGTAGTTGGTATTTTTGTTTATAAATGTATGAAAGAGGGAAAGGCACCTAGGGACTGGCAGAGAGCATGTATAATTCCTTAATATAAAGGGAAGGGGGACAAAACAGATAGTAAACTTTTTTTTTTTTTTATACAAGTCGGCCGTCTTCCACAGAGGCAGGGTGACTCAAAAAGAAAATACTTTCATCATCTTTCAACACTTTCACCTCACTCATACATAATCACTGTCTTTGCAGAGGTGCCCAGATATGACAGCTCAGAAGTCCCTCCAAACTGGCAATATCCCAAACCCCTCCTTTAAAATGCAGGCATTGTACTTCCCACTTCCAGGACTCAAGTCCTGCTAACCGGTTTCCCTAAATCCCTTCACTAAGTATTACCCTGCTCACACTCCAACAGCTCGTCAGGTCCCAAAAACCATTCGTCTCCATTCACTCTTGTCTAACACACACACACACACACACACAACACACACACACACACACACACACACACACACACACACACACACTCAACACAACACACACACACCACACACAACACACACACTCCCACACACACACAGACGACACTCACCCCACTACACATTCACACACTACAATAACCACACACACAACACTTACACACCACAATCACACACACACACACCACACACACACACAGCCACACACTATACACTCACACCACACCACACACACACCCACATCCTCACACAACCCACACATTGCCTAACAAACACTCCACTCCTCCAGCCCCTCCCTACCTGCTGAAGCACCCCTCGTCACAAAACTCCTTTAGCTTCACCCCTAAATTCGAGAGTTCAACCTCTATGCCTCTCCTACCTTCCCCTAAGATTTATACGCTCTCCATGGTCAACTACTTTTGTCCATTCTCACAAATGACCCAAACCACCCAACAGCCACTTCTTCATTTCTGACTAATGCTTTTAGTAACTCCACACCTCCTCCTAATTTCCACACTCCGAATTCTCTGCATAGTATTTACTCCACACATTGCCCTTAGACAAGACATCTCCACTGCCTCCAGCTGCCTCCTCGCTGCAGCATTTACAACCCAAGCTTCACACCCATATAAGAGAGTTCATACCACTATGCTTTCATACCTTCCCTTCTTTGCTTCCATAGATAACGTTTTTTGTCTCCACAGATACCTCAACGCACCACTCACCTTTTTTTCTTCATCATTTCTATGGTTAACCTCATCCTTCATGAATCCATCCACTGACAAGTCAACCAGATATCTGAAAACATTCACTTCTTCCATGCTCTCACTCTCCAATGTGATATCCAATTTTTCTTCATCTAAATCGTTTAATACCCTCATCACCTTACTCTTATCTATGTTCACTTTGAACTTTCTACCTTTACACACCCTCCCAAATTTGTCCACTAACCTTTGCAACTTTTCTTTAGAATCTATAGTAAACTTATTCCCCTATAATTTTTACAGAGTATTCCAGGTAAAGTGTATGGTAGGGCTATTATTGAAAGAATTAGAGGTAAGACAGAGAGCAGGACTGCAGATGAGCAAGGAGGCTAAATTTAGAATGGGTAGGGGATGTGTAGATCAGGTGTTTACATTGAAGCATATATGTGAACAGTATTTAGATAAAGGTAGGGAAGTTTTCATTGCATTTATGGATTTAGAAAAGGCATGTGATAGAGTGGATAGGGGAGCAATGTGACAGATGTTGCAAGTGTATGGAATAGATGGTAAGTTACTAAATGCTGTTAAGAGTTTTTATGAGGAGAGTCAGTCTCAGGTTAGGGTGTGTAGGAGAGAGGGAGATTACTTTCCAGTAAAAGTAGGTCTGGGACAGGAATGTGTAATGTCACCATGGTTGTTTAACCCGGAAACGGTCCAAGCAGATCTACGTTCACATGTGTAGTGCTACAAAAGTAGATCTAAGTTTTTTTACATATTTTCAAATATAACAAAATAAAAAGTAGATCAAAGTTTTTTTACACATTTTCAAATGTAGAAAAACAAAAAGATCTACTTTTTTTACTTACTTTCAAATGCTGAAAAAACATATATATACGTTTGGACCGTTTGTGGGTTAATATATTTATAGATGGGGTTGTGAAAGAAGTAAATGCTAGGGTGTTGGGGAGAGGTGTGGGATTTAATTATGGGGAATCAAATACAAAATGGGAGTTGATGCAGTTATTTTTTGCTGATGATGCTGTGCTTTTGGGGGATTCTAAAGAAAAGTTGCAAAGGTTAGTGGACAAGTTTGGGAGTGTGTGTAAAGGTGGAAAGTTGAAAGGGAATATAGATAAGAGTAAGGTGATGAGGGTATCAAATGATTTAGAAAAAGAAAAATTGCATATCACATTGGAGGGAGGGAGTATGGATGAAGTGAATGTTTTCAGATATCTGCGAGTTCACTTGTCAGTGGATGGGTTTATGAAGGATGAGCTAAACCATAGAATTGATGAAGGAAAAATGGTGAGTGGTGCATTGAGGTATCTGTGGAGACTAAGAACATTATCCATGGAGGCAAAGAAGGTAATGTACAAGAGTATAGTGGTACCAACACTTATATGGGTGTGAAGCATGGGTTGTAAATGCTGCAGCAAGGAGGTGGCTGGAAGCAGTGGAGATGTTGTGTCTAAGGGCAATGTTCTTTCTTTCTTTCAACGCACCAGCCGTATCCCACTGAGGTGGGGTGGCTCAAAAGGAAAAACGAAAGTTTCTCCTTTTAAATTTAGTAATATATACAGGAGAAGGGGTTACTAGCCCCTTGCTCCCAGCATTTTAGTCGCCTCTTACAACATGCATGGCTTACAGAGGAAGAATTCTGTTCCACTTCCCCATGGAGATAAGAGGAAATAAACAAGAACAAGAACTAGAAAGAAAATAGAAGTAAACCCAGAGGGATGTGTATATATATGTTTGTACATGTATGTGTAGTGTGACCTAAGTGTAAGTAGAAGTAGCAAGACGTACCTGAAATCTTGCA